AACCTGCATTACGGTACTATTTGTGAACTACATCAGATAACGCAAGCCGCAAATACCTATTCTGGGTTTCTGGAAGCTGGTTTGAGAGTTCATCTTCTGTGATCAAGAAATAAAATCTTTTTCAACTATGAAATTTTTAATTTATTCTGGATGGCCACTTTCTAAAAAACACTCGGACAATTTAATTGATCCAGAAAAGTCAGGGATAATTTTGAAGAAGACATTAATTTGGAAGTAGACATTTCTGAGATATTATATAAAAAACTAAGAATTCTTCTTCAAATAACTTGAATCACTGTTATTTTTCGCACATTTTTTTATTTTTAAAGCAAAAGTTTTTATTTTTGTCTTTTTACATTGCAATTGCAGAGCTGAAAAACAGATAAAGAAAGGTTCTGATTTTTTTGAATTGAAGTGCCTCTGTCTCTCACAATGTGTTAGTGCAAAAAAATCTGGAATGCAAAGGAGAAAAAGGCTCAGTCGTTAACAGTGTTTGAATATCATATGACCAGAGCTATGCTTTATTTCATATTTTATTTAAATATCCTGAAAAACTTCATACATTTTGTCATGGAAAACTAAAGGACATGACCTGGATAACCTGGAAATGTCAGGGAAATTTTTCCTAGAAAAAAGAGTGGTCACTCTATTATTCTTTTAAGTGTGCAATGTAATTTATCTTGATGTACTACTTAGTTGTTTTCTTGAAATACTATTTCCTTGTTTATGACTGTCTTGGTATACTATTTAACTGTATAAAAATAAACAATGTGCTCTGAAATTTATTTCAGGTGTCCTGAATTTCATTTTTATCATTGGTAACCTTAGATACAAATTGATGCTATATCCTTCAATTTACTCAATTCTTGATGGTAATTAAGTTGCCTTGAAGGATTGTCTGGATTGCACAATAAATAAATGATATACAGTACTTTTATGATATTATTTATAGGTTTTGGGAAAGTTTCCTGATAATAGACTAACAAATTATATTCATGTTAAAACATATGTTTTATTACATAAAACATTATTAATTATTAATAAAGATTAATATTTATTAATTTGTACTCATTGAATAGACAGGATATCTGATAAAATTTGTATATCCTGTAATTACAAATGTTGATAAAGACGAAGTAATCAGGAAAAAAATTATTTAAAAGATAAATGAGTGTGAAATGATTGAAATAAGGAGTTTATCTATTATATAAAAGCATTGAGTAATTTAATGAGGTTAATAGTAAATTTCACTAGTGCACTACATTTTCTCACCAATGACTGAATTCTCAATCTGAAACTTTAGAGAGAAACAGATTTCCATGAACTCATCATTGAAACTACTCTGTCCAACTCTGTGATTTTGATGTTACCTGGAGTGAGCTAACTCAACAAAGGCTCTACAAAATGATTTCAGATATGGTACACCACTCAGTCCACCCTAGGTCAGTTGTAAAAAAAAAAAATAAATAAAAATAAAAATACAGTACTTACTAAATTACCTGGTCAGATTCAAAAGTTAGGTATCTCTTAAAGAATGCAATTGTTTCAGCTTGCACAGTGGAATTTTGTTACAAGTTCTAATCATCAAAATTTCAGTTTGTTAGAAAATATTGTCTATTTTTATTTAATTTAAGTTGATGACCTTGCAGATGTACAATTGAAGACTGAAGAAAGTAGGGCAGGAAAACCATTCCCAAACTGAGGATGATGATAAAGAACACAGAAGCTTATTCAAGGATGAAGAATTATTGATCTGTTTTAATTGAATATATTTCTATTGTCTTCTCTCCTATAAGGTGGTAAATTAATGAATTTCATGTAGATATAAGCCTCTAATTTAAAAATGGACATGGGTTAAAAAATAAACAAAAATAAAAATTGTAAGATAAGCGTCATACTACTCTATAATTTGTTTACATTCTTTAATTTTTATTTTTAAGCTAAAGCTAATGCTCTGAGTTAAAATCTAAGTAGTATTAAAGTATTTCATTTTCATTTACTACACTGTAGTCTTTCACTAAGGACATGCTAATTTAATCCTCTTTTGGAAACTGTTTCCCCCATTAAAATGTAATCAAAATTTGAATCGAACTACATTGCACTTTCATTTTTTTTGTTTTCCAGGTTATATTAATAATAATAATAATAACAATAATAATAATAATAATAATAATAATAATAATAATAATAATAATAATAACAATCATCATCATCATCATCATATTTGATCATTTTATTTCACAACACTGATTTTTAGCAAAGGTTGTTGGGATCTCCCTAATTTTTTCAACTTTAAAAATATAAGCCCACTAGGAAAAAATGATGAAAGAACATATTTATTTTTTGCTTTGCGAACTTACTTATAGTTTAACACTCGCCATGTGCTTCATAAAATTAATTATAATCATCAGTTTATCATTTATAGAATACAATAACATTTTACAAGTAAAAATATACCAAATATACAAAAGAAACTGTAGTGCTTTAAATTTTGCAATAAAATAAATGAAACGTTAATAGTATCATTATGGATCTCCTGTCTTTTATATTCTAATTAACAAATTATCAATGCCCTTTTGTTTTAAACATTGCACCAGTTTTAAAAAAATCGTTCTAAGGGTTACAAAGTTGAAATTGGTTGAAACATAAAATCTGCCAAGCCACAGATGCATAATGTACGTGGAGATATCATTTTTCAAGGAAAAACAATAATTGTATATGTAAACGAACGTATTTTGTTGCTTTCAAAAATTTTCCCTCCTTTACAAAACATGATTTGTGAAATTGACCAATAACGTAATGTCTTATTTTAACCAGTGCCGTTTCAGATTCTCTAACATTTGTCCAATAAGGGAAGGTTTTATTCTGACCAATGAGGAGGAGGAGATTATATGACGTCAAGCCAATGAGCGTTTTCTCACTGGAAACAGTCAGTTCCAGGTCGGGTGTTATTGCGAGCTTCACATTGTGTTGAAGTGAGGATATCTCGCTGTGTTTTGAAGTGTACAATTTGTGTGGATTTCTTTCTGATAAGGTGAGAAGGATGATTACTACTTGCTTTATGCGTTTAAACACATTTTTATTCATAAAATTTTTAATTTCATTCAGTTTATAAGGTATTTTCTCTCATCGTTTGTGAAGTGTGTCATGAAGCCGTTGTACTAATGGCCGCCATGATTGTTTTCTCGTAATTTTACGTGAAATTATAGGGTTTTAGTGTGTTTAATTTAATGTAGTGCTTATTGGTTGAACTCAAGAATATTTTAACTTTGATTGAGTAGAGTGGGCTTTTACTGAAAAAATTGTTTATTTTATACAGTTGAAATGGCGCGTACAAAGCAGACCGCTCGTAAATCAACTGGAGGGAAAGCCCCTCGTAAACAGCTGGCCACAAAAGCCGCAAGGAAGAGTGCACCATCAACTGGAGGTGTAAAGAAACCCCATCGTTACCGGTACGTTTTATGCTTTGGACAAGAATACACGTGTACGTATTTGTTTTATCTTTATTGGTTTCTTTTTACTTCAGCCCTGGTACCGTCGCTCTTCGAGAAATCCGAAGATACCAGAAGTCAACAGAATTGTTGATCCGTAAATTGCCTTTCCAACGTTTGGTGCGTGAGATTGCCCAGGATTTCAAGACCGATCTTAGATTCCAGAGTGCAGCTATTGGTGCCCTGCAGGTTAGTATTAATTTAATTTGCGAGGTGTAGATGCAGGGGGTACAGTTACCATAGGAATCTAGCCTACTATTTAGTTTTGCCTGTATTTAATGTTTGTTTTTCATGTAATTGCTGTACATTGTTTGGAACTTTATTTTTATATAGTGAAGGTGTAGGCAACTGAATCCTTAAGAATTCTGCATTGATATTTTAGAAAGATGGTCATTTCTCCATGTAGTATAATCTAGAAAATTGTATGTAGTCTGATCCCAAGGGCTGGTATTGGCAAATCAATTAATTTTTTGAAATAAAGTTCTAAAGGGCATTTGATAGCTTTTAAACTGCAACTTAATTTATGAAACCAATTAAAATTTTTGAATCTTAGTATACCCCCACATACTAAAAAAATTGTGTGAACTAAGTGGTTTCTTCAGATCTTTGTGAAAAGTAAAAGAAATGTTGGGAAATATTTCATGTGCAATTCTATTAAATACAATCCATAGCTTGATTGCATAGTGATGTGGTCAGCAACTCCCTTTGCTCTTGGATTCATATTTCAACAATTCCTATAGTGAGCCGAAGTGACAGTTCACTAAACACGAAATTATTTCAACCCAATTTCATTAACTTATTTTCACAAGTTAACAAATGCTGATGTAGTTAATTTAGGTGAATGTATTCAGTTTTGATTAAAGCCTGTTGATGCATAGTTTGTGATGAATATAATTGTAATTGATGTACTAATAAAGGGTACATTTTCTGTTAAGTAAACCTGAACTAAAATTTTAAACAGTTAATAGGAAGTTGAAGTTGGTTCCTTCAGTATTGATATCCAACTGCCTGCCAAATGATTAAGATGAGTATTCATATAAAATGCTCTTGTAATTGTTGGACAGACTCTGAGATTTTATGTTCATGTGAGGGACGAAGGCTTGAGCCTCACTCGACACACATAGCGAAGTCACAATTCTGTGCATTGAACCATGACCCCGCTTCAAATTTATCCATCAAACAATGCAAGAAGTTTGCATGAAGTGTGACTAGCAATTACTTCAAAGTAATAATTATTTACAGAACATTCAGAATATAACCAAAGATTTTTTTGGAATATCACTAACCCACAGTAATGATTTAATATCTAGATTTATTTCTTGCTAATGCAGTAGAACCTTGCTATTCGCTCCTCAAATCCAAAATTTCAGATATTCGAACCAAATATGGGATAGAGCAAAAGTAAACAAAATGCTTATTTGTACTGTAAAGAAGGTATTTTAGAATTACTTTAGGACTGAACAACTAATAATCGGAAAACTGGTTGTTGATATGAAATGTTTTTCACTGGTTACTGCTGTGTATATCACATGTTTATCTAGTAGTAATTTTCACTTCTAGTAACTTGCAATTTTGGTAATTTTTTGCTGTAAGGAACTTAGTATGGCAATCACATCAAGCAGATTATGTTCTGTTGTCTATCAATTGTTCAATGTATTTATGTACAGTACAGTTCAGTTCTGTTAGTAAATTTACAATAAGCATAGTAATTTAATTTATAATTCACTGGTCTTTCTTTAACCTGGCAGTGCACATGCTAGGAAAAGTAGTTGGAGCACACACTGTGCTCATTCAGATGAATCATTTGAATTCTAGCCTATCGTGCAACACAAACTAACTTTGGGTGTCTCGGGCACACCACATTAACCTCATTTACAAGCATCAAAACTTTAAAACTTGATTGAACTTTAATGTTTATCTAATGTAACAAGATGCATTAATTTTCATTGTATTACTTGCTGACTTGCGATATGCTGTTCTGCACATGGCTTGATCGAGATTAAGCCTATTGACAAGGGATGGAAGTTGTAACATCTGAGAATACGTCACTGAATTGTCATTTGTGGCATTAACCAGTTGCAGGGGAAGGCTTTATTAACCAACTCTGGGTTTTGGTTTGTTGAAAGGATTTCAATAAAGCCAACATTTAAATTAGAAATACAGATGTGCAGCATTTAATTTAGAGCAGTTAAACTGTGATTTGGGTTTCCTAATGTATTTAGAGGTAAAATGATTTGTCATTTAAATTTTTTAAAAAATTCAATACATCTTTGTATTAAAAGTAGTTTTGAGTTGAAAGCAGTCTGCTACAATATTTTCATTAATACAGCTGGTGTTTTTGCTGTCACTGTATGTTACAATCTGCAGAGATAGGGTGCATTGCTGAAGAGTATGCAGATATTTTCTATTTAATTCTGAATTGAAAGTGCTGTCACATTAATTACTTATTCCTTACAATGACTTGTATTTTTAGGGTAAAGCAGATTTGGTTTAATCTGTATAGAATGGTTTTAGGGCAAGGCCTTCTTTGTGAAGGTGTCTTTTTTCTGTTAATGGATATTGTTTTTCAGCATTAAGTAATTTAGATCACATCTGAATTTTAAGAAAATAGTACTTTTGTTTTAGTAGTTCTTTCAATAATGAATAGAATAATTGATTCAAAAGCTTTGTTGAGAATAACAAACTACTGTTGTGTTCCCAACATGGATATTGATCTGGCCAATAGAAGAAATACTAATTTATTGGCAAGATGGTTTCTTAAGGACTGAAAGTGAACATTCAGTGTGGTTTCTTTTTCTGGTGCTTTCAGCATTGCCTAGTTTCCCAGAAACAATTTTTTATGGGGTGTAATTTTAACTTCAGTTCTAATGCTAATGATCATCAAGAGGGTTTTGCAGCATCAAAAAGTTTGTCATAACGGTGGCAACAAAACTATATGGAATTAATAATTAACTCTGGGGTTAAGTGGGTGGGGGTGGTAAATTTATAAAGTTTATAAAATTTTCTAATTTTTCACATTTTCCCATTAGTTTGAGGGAGTGTGTAGGGTGAAAATTTAATTTTAAGCAAGTGATCCATTGCATATTGTGTAGCATTATAATTTGGTTTGTTACAGGAAGCCAGTGAGGCATACTTGGTTGGTCTGTTTGAAGACACCAATTTGTGTGCCATCCATGCTAAACGTGTAACCATTATGCCCAAGGATATTCAGCTTGCCAGGCGCATCCGAGGAGAGAGAGCTTAAGGAGATTTTTCAGTGACATCTGAATAAGCCTATTATCATCTTCATGGCTGGACTTTAACCTGTAGTGATGTCATCAATTTTCACAATCATTTTTTTCACCTTCACCATCATTTGTGATACTCGAGAAATAATGAAACCCCCTTCAACACACTGCCATTTATTGAAAAGTTGAGTACTTTGGGACAGGTTACACTACTGTTGCACATTGTGGAATACTTTGGGGTTTAAAATAAATTGTTATTTTGTGCTTAACTTATTTTGTATCCAGCTGCATGTCACATACTTGTCCCTTTTTTTTATATATATATGTTTAAGATGTATTCTGAAAGTTCATAAAAATTGAATATCTATGTATTCATTGGCTGCTGCTTCATGTGTTCAAGTACTTTGTTAGATGGCTTCTATGCCAGGAATTCATTAGTGTTGTCTTGTGAATGGCTAATTTGGTCATGTAGTTAAGTAGATATTCATTTAACCATTGTAACTTAGGAGTTTCCAATTGGTGCATTTCACATTTTTGATTTTTCATCTTGTCAGCTGTAAAATCCAGTTGGATGCTCTGGAATTTGTTTTATATAGCTGGGTGATTTTTAGACAAAAGTCATTCCCAATGTCATTACATTGCTTTGATTTCATGACATTCCTGAAACGGCTGAGAAATTTTTTTAAAGCATGGAACATTGGAGACTTAGGTTTGGCAAGTACAAAAGCAATGTAATACTTCATAAAGGTTATTGATTTATTACAGTATTGTTTCAAGATTGTAGAAAAATATAATTTAACACTATATACAGTATTTTCATTTAACTTCTCCCAATTTGGAACGATCCTTTGTTAGTCCTTACCAGACTTCCTAGAAAATAATTTTACCAGGTACAAATCACTGCTTTTATTAACTTGAGATGCTGCTTTAGTATTTGTGGAAACTTGCATATTTCAAAAGGATGATGATAATGTTACCAGCATGTGTACACTGATATTTGAAATGATTTATGACACATTTGTTGCATTATACTTTTATTTATTTAGCGTCTTGAAATTTGACTCTTATGGTCATCCAATTACGAAGTTAAATGTCGCTACAGTGGGGGTCAAGCTTGTGTTGGGGTACAATAACTGCTGATTTTTGTCAAGTGCTCAAATCAGTTTCACATGGTTAAAGGTGTATTTAAATTGTGGATAGGAGTGGTCTAAATATGGAAAATAGGACTACTGATTATAAACAATATGGAACCAAACTATCACGTACAGGATTCAACAGCACTGTCCTGATCAGTGTGGATAAACCTCCATGAGAATGATGCATATTGGGTCATGTTGTGGATGAACACTTGTGCAGATTGGTCAAAGCACTTGATTTGCTTGAGGTAGTGTTGCCATTTTATGGCATGTCAACATGCTTGTATGCAGGGGCCCTAAATTTACCAATATTACTAAATGCTGATTAATTTGTACACCAATGAGATGACAGCACACTGAAATGATCAACTTCAGTTTCACAATCTACTTTTGGTTACTAGTATTTCAGCAAAGTGACCAATATTTTTACAATGGAAAAGTTCAAGAAAACTTAAATGAACCATTTTATTAATTGAAACATAAGTACACTAAGCTAACATCCCTCTTAATTATTTAAGAGTATTTTTCCGTTGAATGTTTGGTCTGAAATTTTCTGCGATTATATTAGAAGTTTCGTAGCAAGAAATATCCTTCATATTGGATTTTACTGTAAGTGCTGCAGCTAGGGTATCAGCATTGTCATGATTTATAATTTAACTTACGACATGAACACTAAAAATTTTGAAAAGGACACTTTGAGGAAGGGCTGAGCGTACTAATGGACTGCATTACCCAAAGGACAGTGAATGGTCACTTGTTCAAAGATAAGTGAGTAAGGAACTGCTGAAGTTTTAGGGTTTAGGCACCATGGATTGCATGTGTACCTGCTGATGTCTTGTTAATTCACCAACTTTTGTTATTATTTGTCTGGAATTTCTGCAGCCATAAGGAGGTTATTAATTCCCTTTCCAGAAGTTGGGTGGTGTGTCAGAATGGCACCTTACAGATTTTACAAAACATTGGCTTTCCTTTGGCACAAGTGATACTCATAAAATTACTGTTTCATAACTTGGAAAATTGGTTCTTTTCATTTAACTGTTAATAACCATATTTGCAAATGACTGGGGGAAAGAATTCAGTGAGTTGCTGAAAATATGTATGTGAAGAGACGTCGTGAGTTCAGATAACCGAGCAGATGAGCCTCATAGTTCTTGAAAAGTTTTCCTAAAATTAAAACAATTTATCAATAACATTCCCATGCAAAAATAAGGCTGCAGGCCAAATAAAAAAAAAAAATATTGCAATTACAGACTGGATGCAGAATTGTGAGTTCCCAACAAGTTTCAGATACAAACACTTTTAAATGACCAAATTATTTAAAATCAATATGACACGTAGTAACATATTCTAATTAAACGTTAGTTAAACCTAAGTGCTAATAGCCATAGCCGAATTCTTAGTAGCGAAAGTTGTTCTGAACCTCTATCATCCGCAGTATAATTCAGGAGATAAACATTTATATAAAAATACAGGTTTTGATTGTGAATAAAACTCTACGGGCATCTTAGTGATTCACTTCAAGTTTCCGCGAAACTACTCATATTTTTTTAACCTCGCTACTGCTTATGCAATATAAAGTACGTTTTATAATACTGCGGGAAGAATTTTCGACAGAAAAACGCGAGCCTCGATAAAGAAAAATGTTGGCATCTTGACCGTAGTAAATTATATCTTCCAACATGTGTAGTCAGAATCCATGTTTTGTGGGTCCTTGATACCGAAAAATAAATTGGCGGCATAACATCCGTGTTCAACTGGCGTCTTCATGAGACCAACGAGTATACGAGACCATATAGTCATATACTCTCTGTATGAGACTCGGACTATTAATACCCTTCACTCTGCTAGTGACATCACGAACTGTGTTCCTAGGGGGGTGGTTGTAAGGGTTGTAAGTTCACCCCTCTCCGACGCACAGCCGAAAGAGTATATGGAGTGTTTATAATACAGGAGAGCTCGGCCAGGAATGAGGCATCAACTTGGGTTGTGTGTTGTAGTTCGATTTGTTCGTCTTTTGTGTTAGCCAGCGCAGTAAATACAGTTATTTCGTAAGAAAATTTTATGTTGGAAATCGTATTTGAATTGCAGAAAGAACAAGTTTTCCGTCCGATTTAGGTCAATTTCCCTCCAGTACTTCACACAAACGGAAAAGTCGTGTGTTTTTTTAGCTTATATCAGTTTAAAATTTTAATCACTTAGCGTTAATGAATATGTAATCATTCTTGCGAATTACTTTAGATGAGAATGTTTTGAGAATCTTTTCACACTTTATATCCGATTTTGACCCTTATAATGAACAAAAATGAAGGGGGTAGAATACTTTTTTCCTGTTCTTTTTAATGAATATTTCATGTTTTGATACATCATAAAAAAGGGCTCAATACAAATTGTAGCTGTTAATTCTCTAGTCTCCCCAACTTCCAACCTTTCGTGTACTTTGCATCCAACAGCTCACTATCAATAATAATAATATTTATTGAGTCGCATCTACAATTACAATCGTGTATGACAAGTCAATGTCTTTGGTGGAGAGAGTGAAGTTACATTCCTGTTCAGCAGTAAACAAGGGGCCATCTCAACATTAGGGACCAGGGAAACTGAACAAAACCTGATCGAGACTTATTTTCTAGAAAATAATAATATTTTTACTTATTGTAACTTGAATATTGAACGAATTAAAATTTTATCTACCAAAAAATGAGTTTATGTACTTTATCCAGAATACTTTCTTTGCTTTGATAGTTTAATTATGAAATGGGATCATCGTCACTTGATTGAAATGATGTTTCTGATATACAGTCCCTGGCCATATTATTAGACGCCCTCCAAATTTTTAACAAAATGTTAAGTTTTGAAGTCTCTCACTGCACTACATTACATCTGGCATTGTTGCGAATCAATCAATAAAAACAAAGCTTCTTTTTCTAATAATTAACACATTATTTGTCATTATGTACCATTGTTGTGACACCTCATTGTTGCTTAGACGCACAAATTACAAGAGTTTAGTAAAACAAGCGGTGACATGAGCAGTGTGTTGTTGCATGAAGATGGTTTTTTCCATTTATTACTTTGTGAAATAGGTATAGCCGTGTTTATTTAAAAATTGTGAATAGTTGTATACAAAAAACTGATAGTTTTGAATAAAAATAATGGGAAAGGAAAGTGATTTGTCTCCTCGAAAGATCGCAGCAGTGGAAGCTCTTGACAACACAGTAAATTATTCAAATTGTGAGATATCTCAAAGGTTAAACGTATCGAAGACATCTGTTCTGCGAATTAAAAAAAAATTGTTCTTGGTGAAGAATTATCCCCACAAAGGAAGAACACATGTGGACGGAAGAGAATATTTTCACCAAGGTTTGAGAGATGTTTGAGGAAGATTTGCCATGAAAACCGGTTTGCTACTACTAAACAAATTAAATTTAAATTGGAAAGTAGTGAACTCTGTGTATCTGAAAGGACAGTAAGGTGTACACTATTACAAATGAATTTTAAAGCTTGTAGACCAGCCCACAAACCCAGCTGGTATGAAAGAAAAATGTCTTGCATGGGCTAAGAAACTTAAGAATAATGATTTGGACTTCTGGAAATCGGTAAAAATTTAGTCTAGTGCTTTTTTTTAAATTATAAATGGCTACCAAAATTAATTCTAATGTCATTTACTTGTATTTCAGATTTGTTTTAGCGAGAAATGCACTTTTAAAATTCTAGCAAACAAACATCAATATGTGAGAAGGCGCCCTGGTGAAAAGTATCATTCAGATTGTGTCATCCAGTCAAGGCAATGATTTGGTCAGTGACCAGTGGCAAAGGCATGGAGCGTCTGTACTTGGTTAAGGGCATCATGAAACAAGACCAGTACAAGCAAGTATTGGAGAAACGACTGCTGCTTCAACTACAGGAATGGTTCACAAATGAAGAATCATTTGTTTTTATGCAAAATGGGGCTCCATGTCATACTGCTTGAACAGTTCGATCATTTATGTTGGAGAAAAATGTTCCTGTGTTACCATGGCAAGGAAATTCACCAGATATGAACCCAATAGAAAATGTTTGGGAGCTCATGAAGAGGGAAATTGCAAAGGAAGAAAAAACAATAAAAATTCGCCTCCTTGAGAAAATAATTCAAGACTGGTACCATCATCCAAAGTTGCAAGAAACAGTCCAGGCATGCATTAATAGCATGCCAAAAAGAATTAAAGCTCTAATAGCTGCTGAAGGTGGCCTGACAAAGTATTAAAGATATACATGTTCATGAAGATTTTTTATGAAAATTAATTTATATATTATACTGATGGTTATAATTTTGCATATATCTTGTTTGTATCGTAAATATTCAGATATTACTTATGTATTTTGTTAGAAATAAAAAAATACATTTTTCATCACAAAAACGTGATTTTTATTGAAAATTTAGGGTGCGTCTAATAATATGGCCAGGGACTGTAGATAGAGATTGACAGTTCTCACTGGCATTTCTGAATCTTGCACTAGGAAGTAGATGATAAACAATCTACGCCCTTCAATGAAGAATCACACACCAACTCTCTGACGTAGATATGGATGATAACTTTGTGCAACTAATGAGGATACGAGTATGAAATATTGTAGAGGTAGATCTGCTCATGCGATGTACAATCAAATGGCTTGTTTCCAAAATCAACTGCCTAAATAAAACAAATATGGGTACTGCATCTTTTAGTGAGTGTACTAACAAATATTTTAACAAAGTTATAAATAATATTATTAGCAACATTGCTCTATTTTGCTTGTGTTGAAAATCCTGCTACTGTTGGGGCTTGAACGTAGGACCTCTTGGTCAGAGGCACTGCAGTGATATCAGTTTATGAGACACCTGTCCCAGTTGAAGTTACAAATAACATGAGAAAGTACGTGTTATTAAAGTACTAGTTTGATGATAAAAAAAAAATCCCCCAAATTCAGATGGACGAAACTAATGTAAAATGTGAAAACAATGTTTTGTGAAATCAGAAATTAATTTAACCTGTTCTACTAACATCCTCCCTCTTTCAACATTCAACTACTATGGGGGAAGAAATTGCAAAGACAGCAGCGATGAGCAGGCAGCAGGGAAACGGAAGTGAAGGTACTGATGATTGGCAATCAGGTAAAATAATTTTTGGTGATGTTGCAAAAATAATATTCGTACGTTTTACAGTAGTGGGTATGTTTATATTCTAATATTAAAGCATAACATATAAAGTAAAGGTGCCCTGTGCAATTGCACACAGACCAATGGAGGCTCCACCTATTCTTCACTATTGGCACAAGGAGATTGCAAGGTGAGCACAAAGCTCAGACTGCCTTTACCTCCAGTAAATGTACTGATATTCACCTGGAAAGGAGGCGGAGTTGACATCGGAGCCACCCTGATGGGAAATGGGATAGAAACCCAACCTGTCAGGCCACCATGGCTCAGTACTCATACTCCTTATACTCTGGCGATATTAATTTAATGGTTACTTAATATTAAATGAAACAATGTTTGTACTTCCCCAGATTATAGTAAAACAGGGATTGGAGAACACAAATCTGCAATTACAAGGTACATCTGTTAATACATTAGATGTGGAAACAGTGCTAAAATAGTAAAATGTCAAATGGTACAATTATGTTTTAATAATTTATTACACTTTTTTTCACTATGCTGACATCAGGTACTACACAATTCCAAATCTACATGATAGTTATCTGTAGCAAAAGTGAGAAGTATAAAATACCAGGCAACTCTGTACCTTAACTATCAAAGAAACAATCTAGGTTTTGTCACTGGGTTCAAGAGTTACGTGATCTTTTTTCTTCTTCTATTGCTTGCAATCTTCTTTCAATAGCTGTAGTATCCAACCCTTTTTCTAGGTTGTATTTAAGAGAAGATCGTAGCTGAAATTCTTCCAAACCTTCAATGCGGTCATATAAAGTCTTTCCTAATTCTTCATCAATATCATTTTCTTCTCGAAAAACACAAAAATAAAGTAAAAACACTCCCAGACTGAGAGAAACAACTATACCCTGGTACCAGGGTGGAGAAACAACTGATTCAGTCCCTATTCTTGTATACTTTGCTTTCCAAGTAGATGCTCTGCTCTCTGCAAATTTAATAGGTTCTTCAATTCTAGGGTGTGAAGATGCTTTCCCGCTATGCTCCCGAAACTCCTTTCTGAAAATACATGGCATGTTAAGGAGTTTCTTGAAAATTAAAATGTGTTCATAAAATTTCAAATTTACATTACCTTAATATCCTTACAACGGGTTTCATTATTACCCTGTTTTTGCAGGTTTTAATCAGTGACATCATCTCCCTTTAATGCGTATTATAAATTCAAATAACAGCTTAGACTCAACAGCATTACAATTTAAAAGATTATGAACCTGAAGTGTTTGTGTGTATCACTCCTTAAATGACAGCTCGACCACAAACTCTTCCTATTACTGCTCTGGGCTTCACACCTTTTGCCTCCTTGGTTGACTTCATTTCCCTGCCATACTCTCCTTGCTGGTCCCTTTCGTTTCTACCAACGGGATAGATATAAAAATTCAAGTTCGGTTTTCATGATTCATTCAGTTGTTCGTATTTAACTACTACCGTAAAATACTCTCTGCTGCTACTACCACCGTGTTCCGTCTCACCACCTGCTCGCCACAACAAAGTAACGCGAGTTAGATCCGCGTGACGATCCTCCTTGCCCAGTGACCCTCTGCGTAATATACTCTCTGCCCTCTGCAGTGAGCTCTCAATTTATATGGTTGAGATCACTGATCTTGCCACCATGACCATAAGAAGCAGAAAGTATATTACGATAAGAAGTTCTGAATAGTTGGTACTCTCTGGTTGGTACACTTTGCCGCGGGAGCGTGAATTGAATTGGCGTGAATGGCGCAGGCTTATAGTAGGATATAAACACATAAAACGCGATATAACTGCATTCGAAATAAATCAGGTGTTGTAGTTTAATCCAATCGGGAGCTTATATGTCGCTACAGAAATTTCACTATGGGGACGTTCAAGCTCTCGATTAGCATGGTTAAATAAATCGTAGTACAAACCAAAGAGTATATATACAAACACTCCTTGGCAGGCAAGAACAGGGCATGACGTGTGAAGCGAATGAAGGCGGGAACGACTATCATTTCGATGCCAATCATTGTTCAAATTTAATTCGAAAATTGCTAATGGGGATTTCAAGCTGCCAGAGCTCAACTCTTCGGGGACTAGTTATGTGAATTACAAATACCTTTGAAGAAAACCAGAATGTTTAATAATGTATCTTTATTTTGCATCGTATATTTGGGGTTATAAGTAGGCTGATGTAAAAATGTTGATCGAGGAATTCGTGAAACCCTAGGAAATCACTCATTGTAAAAAGGGCTTCTCTTCAAGGAAATACTACCTATTTTAATAAAGACATTTCCACATTTTTATGTTTTTTTGAGGTGCTGGTTCTATTCATGTTTTTAATTCTGAAATATTTGCGGTGTTCGGTCGGTGCTTTTTCCCGATTTTCGTCGAACATTTCAGCAACAAAAATGAAGGTATTAAATGTTGCCGAGAAAAACGATGCTGCTAAAACTTTAGCTGGGTTTATGTCCTCAAATATAAAGCGAGTAAGACAGTTGTTTATTTTTCAGTAGTTTCTTCTGCATTTGGAATTGTAGCTAACATACTACACGTTACTTTTCAGAGAGAAGGCTTTTCAAAGTTTAACAAAATATATGAATTTGAGTACATGTTATTTGGACAAAAATGTGATATGATTATGACATCAGTTTCTGGACATTTGTTGGGATTAGAATTTGTGGGTTCATACAGGCACTGGAGATCTTGCAATCCTCTGTCTCTGTTTGATGCCCCTGTAGTAAAACAGTGTATACCGGGTTATGAAGATATAAAGGTAAGAAGAAGTGTTTAATTCAATGCTATTGAATACATTTCCTTTCACTTTTCTCATTACAATAAAGTGGAAAATTGCTAAAACTATGATACGTGAAGTACGTCTTGGTTATGGAACTTAGGTGGTTTAAATTCTTAATTGATAAACATGCAAGCTTTCAGTACCTTGTCCAAAATTTATTCCTAATGATGTTCATGAATAATTACATGTTACTCTTAAAACTTTGCTGTTTACATTCATAATATGGTTACGGATTATTTAACTTCATATAAATAAAGTAAACCTGTAACAAATTGATTAGTAGTAAATGTGTGTAAAATTCTGACAAGTGGTAGCCAGTTTCTGGAACTAGTTTGCACAGGAGTGTTGCAAGGTTGAGTTTGCATGTTTGTAATTAAATTTTCCATGTCTATTTTCAAAAGTTAAATTTGTTTTTATAATATACTACGTTCATTAAATTCATCTAAGCGTCTACTGCAGATTTCTATGACTTTGCAAATGTTTGACAGTTTCTTCAAGACGTAGCTAAGTGAAAGAAGTTGAAGTGTCTTGGCATTTGGTTAGAATCGGATGCTAAATTAATTAATATGTTAGTGCACATTTGAGCATATTTGGCTGATTTTTTGTGTTGGTGCATATTTTTGTAATTATAGGTGCATATTTCATTAAAATTGAGGATTATCTCGTATATGTTTCATCTTTTCATAGAATCTATTTATTTGTGTGTTTATTGTTTAGTAAGAATTGTCATAGTTTGCATTCTTTTTTTGTTTTCCTTCTATAAATTGTTTAAAAACTTTTGCAAATGTAGGATACGTCTTGATATATTATTAAAACCAGGCACTAGAAATGAAAGACTTACCAACGTGAACATTTATTTCAATTATTTCTTACGAAAAGTAAAGTAGATTATAATATGTTTGCACAAAAATATATCTATTTATTTGAAGCATGCTTCTATTGAAGTTTTTCAAGAAAGGTTTGCACAGGAAGTGAAGCTATTTCCATCCAGTATGGACTCATACGCAAGTGTGCTGTGTTTAAGAGATCAAAGGTATAAGAGTTACATTTTGAAAGTTATAGTAAACCCTCAATATTTTAGAACTAGGTCAATGTGGGATATCCTTTTGTTCTACTAAGCCCTTCAATTGTAACTGGATCCATGTGAACATTGTAAATCATTGTTTTGAAGATGAAAATAGCTTTATATAGTATCCCAACTTTGAATAGAAATCTCATTAACTGAATGGCAAGGCATGATAGGCTTGATATGATGGTCTGAAGACTTTATAGGACTTAAGTGAAAATATATTTTCTCCAAAATATTGCAGTTATAAAAAAATAGCACAATGAAAGTAATTGTTTGAAAAGAAAAAATAGCTTCACACAGGAGCCCAACCTCCAGCATTTCTGGTAACTTGTGATAGGTGATAAAAAAAGGTCTCATTTTGTAAATTACAACATAACAACTTAGCTCCTGCCCCTTTGGGACCTGAAAATCAGGTTTTCAGGTCCTATAATTTGTGTGTGTGTACAATACCCCCCCCATAATATATTAATGTACATTTTTTGTTGTAGCGAACTTTGGAAAGAGAAATACGAAAATGCTCTGTATTAATAATTTGGACTGATTGTGACAGAGAGGGAGAAAGCATTGGTTTTGAAGTTATAGAGGTGTGCAAAGCAGTAAAGCCAAGTATTAAAATTTATCGGTCAGAATTATGCATATTAGTTTGTGGTATATAACTCATTATTAAGGAAACATTCTAAAAGTTATTTTGTGTTGTATTTGCAGAGCTAAATTTTCAGAGATAACCTCTCAGTCTGTGAAGAGAGCTTTGCAAAATCTAGCTCAACCTGATAAAAGAACAAATGATGCTGTCGTAGTGAGACAAGAGCTAGATTTACGCATAGGTATGGCATTGATATGTTTTTAGTTTATTTAAATGAACATTTTTTAATCATTGGTTAGCATTTAGCATGGTTTTTTGTAGGGGCTGCATTTACTCGTTTCCAGACACTTCGTTTGCGTCAAGTTTTCCCTCAAAATCTAAGTGACTCTCTTGTCAGCTATGGCAGCTGTCAGTTTCCTACACTTGGCTTTGTTGTTGAAAGGTACAAAGCTATTGAAAGTTTCATTCCAGAATCCTTTTGGAAGATAAAAGGTAATATGATTGAAGAGATAAATGTTATTGTAATTGTGTAAAAATACTTTTTTTGTGTTCTGCACCTAAAAATTCTTCATTAATAAGCTTTCTCAACAGAAGTGCAGGGGCATATGATTTGAAACATTAATGCTGTATACTTAATTTGGTTATTCCTATGTTGAATTGAATTTTAGTTATTTAAATACATTTGGAATTCTTATTATTACACTTTATAACTTAAGTGTCAAATATATCAAATTCAAGGATGTAACTATTTTTTTTGTTTTTATTCATTCTTTTCCTTCATGTTCTTAATTTTTTTCTCCACTGGAAATCAGCTCAGCTTTGAGAAATTTCATGAAACGTTTTATTTTATGTCTATAATAAACGAATTCTCTTACATTATCCAAGTGATAGTTCAGAAGTGAAGGTTTAGTGTAAACTGTTCATAACAAACCTCAAAGAACCAAGAAAATACTATGATAAAAGTCATTATATTGTCAAACTCCCCATAATGTGGATATTTCTGGAACATTTACCTTTTAACGAATACATAGTTACATTTCCTCCTTATTATGATTACTCTCTATAATCAAAGAAAATAAGCAAAAGTAATCAGAAGTACTTGATTTTAAAATGAACATTAATTTTAATTTTTGATATTTAAAAACAATGTCCATTAGACAACTACAAAATAGGGAGTGAGTAGTGTTAAAGTTCTGTTAGGAAACTGTTGTAGATGAAGTGCATAAAGCTGCTGTTATTGTAGTGGTTTCTCTAGGATTGTGATTAATTTAACTATTTTGTCACATTTAGATGACTTGAATGTCAAATTGTCTTAGCATATTTAAAAATCATTTCACCAAAAAGGTCTTAATCTGGCCTCAAGAAAACACTAAAATTGTGGTCTCAATTCCATGTTTGTGGTGCAACAGCCGTAAATGATCCATGAGATGAAGCTTGTAAATCAACAATTAATACTGCATTTGAGAGAAACAAATATATGTTTTGAACCCCATTTCCTGTGCCTGAGTTGTTTAGATAAAACTCTCGATTCTCTCTCAGTCAGTCAGACTTCAAAGAGATTAGGAACCTGTACAAATCATTTGAACACAAAATTAAGGTCTTTGTGTTATACATTCGGACGTGTTTCAAATTCAGTCAGCCTTCATACAGCTCATTGTGTGTGTTTAGGGATGTTCAGTCCCACCAGAGATGTGAAATAATTTTCTAGAGAAACACATTCTTTAATTCCCAGACTTATATATTTAATATATTCGTGAATTATTCAATTATGTATGTTATGTAAATTTTATTTACTAAATTATTTTTAATATTCATTTGTTGTTGAATTGTTTAGTATTACAACAATGTCTTTGAATGATCATCAAAAGATATGCTGATGAAGCCAATCAATATATTGTGATAGGTGAATTTTATCCTTCATTGTATGACGTCATGTCCTTAGAATCAGCTCAGTTTTTTTT